GCAAAATCCTCTACCCAAACTGATATAAATTTCCAGCAATATCTACAGACCTGCTTTAGTAGGCACTTGCTAAACATTTGTCCCACTAGTTAATGTGAGATGGAGCCATTTTATTTAGAGTAAAGTGCTAGAACTCCAGATTTAAAAACCAAAAACTTCTAAATGTAAATTAAATGGTTCTTTCCCCTATGATTCTTGGGCAATAACCATACTATTTCATTAACAACTTAGGCTAGAAGTATCACCAGGTTTTTTTCTGTCTTTACCTAAGAAAGAAATGAACCCCTCAGCAGAGAAGCAGCTGAATATAGCTACATCTTCATGCTCTCATGCCTAGTCAACAACTGAAATCCAATTAAATTTAAGCCAGGTGCCCCACAAGGTTACTGAGCTAATCTGGTTCTTAAGTCATCATTTGTGATATGATTGCATTTGAAAAGTCCAGTATTTCCAAGATTTCCTCTATGTCTACTCATTCGTTCTATAACAACACCTAAGAGGGCCCAGATGATATTCACAACACTGTTGGGAAAGGAACTGAATGAAAAGACAGTATTTCTCCCCAAGAACTTAAAATGCACTTGAAGTCAATTAAACACTTTATGGAAGTAACTAAATGTGCTGAACTTCCTGAAAGCTTGGCTTTTAAGGTCAGGCATCCAGAAAAATTACATGTGTTCTTTCATATAAGAGAGAATATTACCCTACATCTAAGGCTGATGCTAGTGCCTGGATGCACCTTTTCAACTCATTAGACAAATTGCTTCAGCAAAGTGCCAGATTAGAGCTGGTGCGTATGGCTCAACCCTTCGATGTTATGTACCTTTTGCTCCACGCTGGTTAAGTCTCTCACAATAGCAATTAGAAACAGAAATTCAAGTAAAACAAAACAAAACAAAAAGTAATTTAGGCAAAGCTGGGAGGAGATTTAAAGTTTGGAGGTGTAATGGATTCATGTCACGTGTGTCTCAGAAGCAATAAATCCTTCTTAGGGAAACGTCTGAGGAAAAAACACTGTTAGGCTATAAAATTCCACCTCTGAGGATTATAAAACAACATGCACAGAGCAAACATCCTTTCTGAGCATAATAGGACTGTCAGAAATGATTGACAACAATGACAATCTATCATAGGTTACCGTATCCCTGCAATAGCATCTTGCACAGGGCTGTCTGGCAGAAATGAAATTGTTTATTCATTCCTATACTATGCGGAGGATGGAACATGTCATATAGAATAAATGCGTCTTTTCTTTCTGTCTGCTTTTATGCACCCACATTATCTAAGTACACCTTTTAGTTCATATAACACTATTTCGACTTCCTCTCGGATTTCTCCTCGCTTTCAGGTCTGCTATGCAGATGATGACTTGCTAAGCACTGTTTAGGGGAACGTGATGCCTTTATACCTCCAGACTGACATCAGGAAGCTGTTGCAAACCTGAAACAAAGATGAGAAATGGGCAATCTGGCTGCAAAGCTCCAACCCTCACTCGGAGGGAGGGTGAGGCTCCCTTTCCAGAGCTCTGCCAGCTGTGGGTCAGTGAGAAATCCCTCCAACAGGGTATTTTTGTGATGAGGAAATCCTATCCAGGGTGTGTAATGGATGGTGACCACTGGGTTCAAGAGATCCCTGCAGATCGTAATGACTTTCATTAAATCACTGTCTTCCCTGGGCAGAATTTGAGCTGACAGCCTATTGCTGAGAGACTCCACACAGCTTATTACCTATCCCTGCACACAGTTTCATGCTGCTGACAGGGCTGACAGATCAGCAGCCACCTCTCGGCCAGCCTGCACTGCAGCTCCTGGCACAGTGCTCACGCTCATTCTGCCAGTGCTACTTCAGTTGACATCAATGACATTTCTGTAAGCAGGAGTGCAAAATATGCAAGGTAATGTCCCGTTCTCCATGGAGAAAGCCCTATCATATATAGGAGATTAGATGAATAATTTTTTTTTTCCCCATTCAACTGCTGATTCTCTATTCTGTGTTTACCAATAAGTGACCTCCAGCATGGCAAATTTCTCCCATATGGCCATAGTCACTACTGTCACAGTTGCTTGTACACCACTGCTGCAAAAACTGCCGCATGAAAATCAGTGAAAAGTAAATTGACAAAACAGATGGAGGAAAGAAGTTCTTCCAAGAAACCAAGGTAGAAATAAATAAAGTCTAATGAAAGGACAGGGCTGATGCTCAGGAGCATAGAGTCCACAATCTATCAGAAAATACAGCTGTGAAACCTTGAAGAAACTCCCCAATGCCCATGTGCTGTGGTTGCTCTTCAGCACGCCGATAAGCATCCTTGTTGCTTTGGCCCCTCAGTGATACACTGCTGAGAGTGGGGACCTGCACCTTCACAGGCTCACGGTTCCCCAGCACAGACCGGTCTGAAAATGCTTGCAGCATTTTCCAAAGTGGAATGTTTGATTGATTTTGTGATTCATCTTAAGCCCCAAAGAAATTACTCGAGATCAAAGTTAGATCCGTAATGGATCTGAAGCCTTTGCTTCAGCCACATCTCCTGACCTGTTGATGTCCAGGCAGAGTGACTAAAATTTGTGCAATTTCTCCCCACAGCAGAAAGGCAGCAGGCATAAGACATCATTTGCACAGGCTGTGTTTTCAAAGCAGATTATTAGAGTCAGAGAAGGGAGAAATGCCCATTAACCATCCCCTCTGATCAGTCACTTCTGGTGGGTTAGCAGTCCGGCTAACTTCTACCCAAAATTTCAAGCTGGCTGTTCTCTCCTCAAATTATCTACCAGACAAAATCAGGTCCATGCCAAGAGAGGAGGAAAAGGAGTAAAAGGGCCAAGCACTGGATTTCAGCTTATCTTTGTGCAGAGCCTCACACAGTCAATCTTGTTTAGAGCTGCAGGGCTCCATCTTCCCATAAAAAACACTAGCTGGGAAGAAATGAGATCAGACAAGGAAAGAGAAATAATTGCATTGGTGATATTTTTTCCTCCTGTGTAATTAGAGCCATAGGGCACTCTGCAGTCAGGGTTAGTATGTACTTTATATGCACACAGTGGCAGTGATATTCCTGTGTAGGTAGCTTGCTGCCAGCCTCATGTTTCTTTCATTCCTCAGAGGATTTATATTATTGGGAGTTTTTGTACTTGATGTTGTCATCTGTTTAGTTCCATCCTTTTACTCGCCACTACCACTTCCCACCTTGTCATCATTCCAACTTGAAGATCCCAAGCAAAAAACCTGTCCTGTTTTTTCTGGGAAGAGATCCAGGTGCATCACGAGGATGCAGGAGCACTTGACATATCCCCATTGTTATTAGCATTTCCTTAATCAGTCACTCTATCACAGGTACTGCTTAATATGCATTCAGGACAACTGATAAGTAGTAACGCAATTCTCAGGTGCTAAAAAAATAATTCCTGCACAAGGGGATTATCAATGGGTATCTTTTTGCCACATATTTATTTTAATCTGCAACATGCAGATGCCTGTAAACACCTGCCTACTGTCATGCCTGACTCCCCAAAGGTATTCCCACCTGCAGCACAGGCTGTGGGAGCAGATCCAAACACACAGTCTGACCCTTCATGTTCTCCATGACATTGCAGCAGTGTTCCATCCGTTGGTTTGGGGTAAATGGAGGTGACTCGACCAAAGATGTACAGAAGTGACATGAACACCATACTCATAGAAATTAAATCCTGAGCATAACTGGAATGGTTTGCTCACCGAGCACTCCACAGCCTGGATTGGCTCCCCGTGCAAAAATATCCAACATTAAAATACATATGTCACTAATAGCAGGGATTCCCAGGCCATTTCTCGCATGCAACAAGATCCCTACCAGCCAGAGTAATTAGGACCAAAGGCTTTGAAAGTGAGAGGAGCAGATAAGATAACCACCAGACTCCACATGGGACAATATGGGAACAAAACATGAAAATGTATAGCTTTCTCTGTTTACATTTTCCATTTAGGCACTTGTAAAACGCTGGCAGCAAGTCACGGGAACCTGGGCCCTGGGGACCAGTCGGTTAACGGAGTGCTGGGTAATTGCAGTAACACTATCGGCACCGACCCATGTTGGTACTTGCAATGGCAACCCAGGGTTAGAGTGGGGTAGCAGTCAGGAAAAGCCCTGAAGAAGACTATTTTGTTAATCCTTACAGGAATAATTTCCTCCTCTTTTATTTTCTTGTTAGGCTTCTAACAAGGGACGATGGGCACAAGCTGCAATGTGGGAAATACCACTAAGATGTTCAGAAAAACAAAACAATCCCCTGTGAGAGCGGTCAAAGCATGGAGCAGGGGCCGTGCAATCCCCACCCCTGGAGAGCTTGGAACTGCTCAGGACAGCCTCAGACCTGCTTTGCCAGATTTTAGGGCTTACCAGAGAAGAAGGGAGAGGAGACCACCCTGTTTTCAAAACAACCTTCCAATACAGTCTGCTGTTTTCCATCCAGGCTTTACAAATAAAGACCAAAAGGGAATATAAAAAAATAAATATACTGAATATTTCAAAGGGTTTTTTTATAGGATGAGGAAGCACACTGTAACACAGTAAACCTACAGAGTGAGAGATCTTATGTCAAAGCAGCAAAGGCACAAAGAAACATCTGCACATCATTTCATGACTTCTAAGTGACATTTTAGAGGATGGCTAAACCAACAGCTCAGTTATGCGTCTGGCACTTCTAAAACTGGCATTCAGCACAGATGCTTAGCAGCAAAATTATTTTCTTCTGCTAAGACTGATGCTGAGTGTATTTCACCATTTTCTCCTAAAACTTTAGAGCAATTTTCATCCCTAAATGTGAGATCCGGGCCCATCACAACCTACACACTCCATGCACTGAGATGCCCTTCCCGCAGCTGCGGATTTCAGAAGCCAAAGTCAGTTTTAAACAAGTGTCAGGGACTAATGTTTTCCACTGCTAAAACCGCCTGTAAAAATGCTTCCAATCTGTGTAATACACCTTCCTCGTGTCCTAACAGATGGGAGTCTATTGATTTCCTACCTGTGCATCCATTAAGAGGTGCCTCATCAGCACCATGGCATTTTTCAGAGATTCCTTCTCGCTGGGCAAAAAGGCATCTTCATCTTCATCCAGCATTTTTGACTTGTTGACGATAAAATGGGAGATCTGGTCGTTCAAGGAATGCAGCGACTCCACGGCTGCGGAGACAGAGAGGGAAAGGAAAATGGGAATGAAACTGTGCCTGAGGGACCTGACACCTTTTTCTCAGTTTGAGATGAGCTACAGAGTGCAATCTGCTTTTGAAAAGTGTAGCTGAAAATTGGTCCCCATCACGTCCCTTGGCTTCTCTGCGGAGCGGGCCATCAAAGGCATGATACAGACTGGTGACTACCATGAAGTCAGATATCGATGGAGAACTGCAGCAATAGCAACAGGGCAATGCAGTATAAATTAACTCTATAGTGCTGTTAATTTTTGGTTACTTCCAGATATCAACCAGATCCAATCAGAAGCCAAACACCACAATTTCACTGCTCCTTGAGTCAATCCACGTGCAGCCAATTTTCCCTATGTGATAAAGTTTGCAGCACCAAAATTGTATTTCAATAGTAAATGCATGCCACAACAGACATGAGGGTTATGAAAGTATTGAGCTATTGCTATAAGGACCAACAATTATAAGTAACAGATATACATGCATCTAAAGGTAACTCATCTAAGGTTTAAGTTTACATCCCAGCAGTAGCTAGGGCAGTATATGGGTGGGAACAAGATACACTGCAACATTCTGAAACGGAAGAGTGGTTGGTTAAAAATATTGCTTTTCATAAGTAACATTAATAAAATCCAGTTGATACTAAAGATCCTCTCCATTAAGAAACAAGCCATAAGACTTATTCCCTAGGATATGGCAAATCTAAACAGCAGTAGCGTAAAACTGTGAAGAAAGCAAATTGCCCAAGGTCAAATAACAGGTCATTGCTAAAGTAAAAACAAGCAAAAATTAGTCTCCTGACTCCCAGCTCAGAGACTGCTCCCTGTGGAATACTGGGACCCAGAACTACAAACAACACGAAGGGCAGAAACAAAAAAATTGTCTTTTTATTATCTAGGGTAGGAGAGAGCAAGACCAACAACTAAAATATTGTTAATTTTCTTTCTTCACATTTATCAGTATTTGAAACACCGTTAATATTTTAAATTCTCCTTCATAGGATCAAAACCCAGGTATTATATATGGGATTCTGCTCCCAGTCATGCACATCAGAAATCACCACCTCCACGGCTCACAGAAGTCCCCCAGCAATTTCACACACTTTATGATGCTGCAATCTATACAGGCTGTAATATACAAACTAATAGCAAAATTTATTTCTGCCCAACAAAAAGCTTTGCATTTCTACATATCTGAAAAGTCTGCAAAGAAATTTGCTTTTAAACCATCACAAGTTTGGAGTTTTCATTTTTACTGTGGACTCATTAAATTAATGAGGCTCAAATAATTCTTCAGTGTATTTCTTTCTGCTGGTGGTTCATGCAGTGAAACCCTTTGATAAGCTCACAGCTCAGAGTAACACATCACTGTCACACGCTGAACTATGCTTCAGTGGTACATATTGCAAACCCTGATTTGCTCAGGCTGTTTATGAATAAGGCAATGTGTTATTTAGGACTCTCTGACAAAATGATTTTAGGAACATGAGGCAATTGAAATATACTCGGCCTAGTTCTGTCCAAAGATCTTACCACAAAATTTGAAGTAGCAAAGATTAGCCAGAAACTATAGTCATTAAGGAGCAAATCTTCCCCAGACAAAAGGTCCATAAGAAATAACAGGTATGTCTCCAAAATGCAGGAGTGGAAGAACAGAATCCTCCTTATTGAGAGTGTTTATTTTTGATTCAAAAAAAAAAAAAATCTGTGACTTACAAAGCCTTGGGGGGAGTCTGAAGGAGTATTCCCCGGACTTGGGGTATTCATGTATCTCACCGCTAATAGAAGAGGTACTTGAGGCTCATCATGATGGATAGGTCCATTCTGAACCATGCCATAGATCATATTCGAGATAAGGGCTTTGGAATAACTGACTGAACCAGTTCCAGCTTTCACAAGCGTGCAGCAGCCCAGGCTCGGGGCCTCAGCAGGTCACGCACATGCACTGCACTCCGTGCTCAAAAAGCACGGAGGCTGCAGCCCTGCAGGCTCGTTAGCCATCCCTCAAATTCAGAGATTTCAGCTTTGCAAATCGCTGCACTGCTCCCTCCATATCAAAGCAATTGAGTCCTGCATCGCTGGCACCTCAAGATACAGCAAACCAGCATAGTGACCAGTATCTCACTGGGGCGGTGAGTATACTGAGCTGGTCACACAATGGACCAGCGGCTCCTCTCGTGATTAAGTTTTATGAACATCATACAGAATCATCAACACACTTGGGAACTTTTTCCAACATCACAGTTTCTCTCTGCACAACACAGTTTATCATATTGATTATGGGAAATCTGGGCCTTCTTCCATAGCACTCTGTCCTGGTCATTGCCAGAAAGAGATCCGAGGGCTTGGGTGCAGCTCATGCCGCCCTCCCTCTGCACCCCAGCCATTACGGACCACGTACCTCAAAGCTGCATTTTCCTCCCACGCTCTCCCCCTACAATTTACAAATATATTTCTTTCTTGATACTCTGAGGTTAAACTGGACAGGATGAAGAGCTGTTACCAACAAACCTGTAAGGTCTGGTTTTGTTTAGTTTGGTATGTCAATACCTCATTTACAGCTGAACCGAGTAAGAAGATGAAGGAGCCTCAAGAAACACTGCCCCCAGCCAAAACATTTCAGTGCTTCTCTCCAGAGCAAACCTTGCTGATAACACAGACAAAAGTCATCTAGACCACAAATCTTTACCCACCTTTTAGCCAGCAAGCCCCAGCCAGGAGGGACTGAGCCTCCCAGCAGCAAATGCACTATCAGACCCAGCTTTGACTGCGGAGGCATGAACTGTCGGCAGAGAGGGGGGGCAAAAGTGGATTTGGTGGGTGTCCGTGTATTGCAAACAAATACATAAAACTGCAACGTGGGCATGCAAAGTGTTTGGTGAGGTCCATGTGTTGCACATTGATTTCTGGTCTCTTCCTATGTGTATTTTGACACCGCACATGTTCTGCACCAATGCCAGGGACAACATTTTTAGTTTTCTGCCCACAGTCATCTGGAAAGTCTCTGTATCCATTTCCCATACTCAGTCATCTCAAAGTTTAAGCACTTTCTCTTTCTGAGGCCCATTACTATGGCTTTGTTCACACCATTATAAATAAGGGTTTGTCAGCATTTCTATTATAAATCTCTGCAAGTCAGGCAGAAGGATTCATTCCAGCAAAGAGTGTGATGCTGATGTGATTTTTTTTTTTCCCCCCTCTAACAAAAATGGAAGTGAGGAACTAAAAGCCACACAAAGCTCTTGCCTTCTTAGGGAAGTTTTATTTCTTGAAAGGAAGAATTTCAGGGCTTAGCATTCCTCCATTCACAGGCACACAAGCATTTCTCCTGCACCGTATCACTTTCCAAAAACAGTTTTACCAAAAATTTGATGGCCTGCAAACAAACGCTTACATCTATCTTGACTACATAATAATTTTACTGATGGGTGGAACTTACATACATCACACGCTAATGTACATCACAGCTCGGGCCAGCAGCATGCTTCTAAGTCAACCATCTTCTTCTCATGAGTGAATGCACATGGGGCCAGAGGTATCTCAGAGTGATGCTCTGCTGTGGACACCGGCTTTTGGGGAGCAGCACGGCACATAGGTGTGATGGGAACCACAGTGAGTTTGCCTACGCCTACTTGTAGCTAGGTTTCTCCAAGTCATCAGTGAAGCAATCATCTTATCATATGTCCTCACACCAACCAACACTCAAAAGCCCCAGGAAGCTGCACATTTTCCATACAGAATAGCAGCAGGAATACGGCTGCCCGCAGACAGCAGCGGGCAACGGCAGGTTTGATTTTCTGGTCACTCCTAGGCTGCACTAACATCACCATCAGACACGTCAGTCCTGAAAGCCATCTTCCCAGCACAAATGTGCGAGTATTGATTCATCCCATCCTTCCTGACCAATGAAGAGTTGAGGATAGATAATTTTTTTTATACTCCGAAATTTTGGCTTGAGTCATAAGCCCACATCTGCTTTCAGTAATATGAATGTATACCAGAGTTATCCTCCTAGAGCTAATGGCTTCCTTCCAGATTTACACTGACTGTGACCAGAAACTGGTACGTGGAGCAGTCCTCCTAGGCTTTATGATTTTAAAGTAATTCAAACCAAACAAAATTATATTATCCTAAGTTATTCTAACCTCCTTATCTGAAGCAATAGCTCTATATTATCTGGTATTTCTTCTCTTACACTTTGGGAAGTTTAGTGTTGGTTGAGCAATATGTGGCACATTAAGCTCTGGGGGGCAAACGGTTCTCTCATTTGTAATTCTCTAGGTTTAGAGATGCCAGAGAAATCAGAAGACATATTTTCCAGTAAGAATGAGGAAAAAGCAGATCAGTGTTTGACTTGCACTGATTTTTATAAGCATCTGCCATAGTGCTATGTTTAAACTCTGCTTAGCAAAACTAGTCCTTTTCCATGCAGACAAAGGAAACTGTATTTGAAAATAAAATCCTCTGAGTCTTCCTCCTGAAAGTGAAATATGCACTTCCAAACCTCCAGCCTACACACAAAGTAAAAACAAAGGAAGCCTGGAAAACCAAACAACTTCTGACACTGCTTTTCTGGATGTCCTGTGTCAGTCTGCAGCATAACTTCCAAAGGACCCTTCTCATATGCAAAAGATAATTGATATTTCTCATTTAAATCAAGAGACACTCCTGCCTTGTGCCCACTAAAAATCTAACCGAGAAGGATAATGAGGCAAACCTTCCATCCTTGTCAACTTTAAGCCTTAAACATTTCTCCTGGACAACACTTTATGGATCTCAGATATAAACAGGTTTGTTCAGCTCAGATTAAAAGATACTTCTTGATCCCCTAAAAAAAAAGATGGCAATTTTCCCATGCCATATCAGTCCTCTTGGCTTCAGGTTGATAACACATGAGTAACGCTGCAAGTGAGATAACCAGCTAAGTGAAAGTTACAGCTATCAAAGCCCCATCGGCTTCCCAGCTTTTCCCTTTCCTCACTGT